CGATTGGGTTGGTCTGATTCCTTGGGCAGAGTTTGCACACAACAATCTCGTTTGTGATTCTACTCGTTCTAGCCCCTTTTTCTTGAATTATGGCTTTCATCCTTCCATTCTTCCGTCGGTTTCCCCTTCCCAAGGGGTTCCGTCGGTTGATGTTCATGTCGCCAATCTGAGAAAGTTGTGGGATCAGACTCGACGAATTCTTCTTCAGAATTCCATGGTGTTCAAACGACACGCTGACAAACGGAGACGGGTGGCTCCGGTTTTTGCCCCGGGTGATAGGGTGTGGTTGAGTACCAGAAACATCCGCTTGAAGGTTCCTTCCATGAAATTTGCCCCTCGTTACATAGGCCCTTACAAGGTTCTGTGTCGGATTAACCCGGTTGCATATCGTCTTGCCCTTCCGCCTGCCCTGCGCATCCCTAACTCTTTTCATGTTTCTTTATTGAAGCCTTTGGTTTGCAACAGATTTTCCTCCCCTGAGTCCTCCCCTCTCGCTGTCCAGGTTGAGGGTCAGGAGGAATATGAAATCAAATCCATTCTCGATTCTCGTATTTCTCGGGGGAAGTTGCAATATCTTGTTGACTGGAAGGGGTATGGGCCTGAAGAAAGGTCTTGGGTGGTCCATGAAAATGTGCATGCCCCTCGTCTCCTCCGGGCATTTCATGCTCGTTTTCCGTCCCGCCCCGGTTCCTTCCGCCCGGTGGGCGTTTCTGAGAGGGGGGGTACTGTCAGGGTACCTTTGGTGTCTACCTCGGAGGAGGTTAGACACCTAGACGTCCATCCTCCCAGGGGGGCTGACTCACCCGATCCTTGCACTCCTCCCGGTCGTTTACACGCCGGCCGCGATAGCTCCGCCTCCTTTTATGACGCGGCGCTCAGTAGCCGACGTCATGACGGCAATCACGTTCCGACCCGTCAATCACGGCAACCAAGTGCCGAACAACGAATCAGGACTCGTTGGGGGCGGAGCCAACAGTTAAAGAGCCAAGGTATAAAAAAGGGTTCTGTGGAATGATTCATTGCCCTGTCGTGGTTCTAGCTAGTCTGGTCACTCAGTGCAATTACCTCTATTATCTTTTGGTTCCTGACTCGGCTTGTATTTTGACCCTGCTTTCCTCTCTTGTCCTTTTGACTCGGCTTGTCTCTCGCTTACCTGATCTCTCGTTCCCTCGACCTCGGCTTGTCTCTGACTATTCTTTTGCTTTCTCCTTACGTTAGTCCGGCCATTCTAAGGTCCGGTATACGTACCTATCCCCTGTTTGTATTCTGCGTGTTGGATCCCTGTCACGATACTGACAGTTGCCTTAGAAATAAAACATATTGTTTTATCACTTGTTAACTGCTCAACCAGGATACTTCAAAATACTTCTTTTTGAGAACTTTTGATATCTATATTTTGTATTATTGGTGTGCTTCTCATGCCCTTTAATGATTCTTTCTTTCCCTTATATTAACTATTGTAAAAAGCACACAGCCTGTTCAGAATGATTTATAATGTTCATGAGTTTAACTTGCCATCTACCATGAGTTACCACTACCATCCCCATAACATGTTCAGCTGAATTAAATTGATATGGTGGCAGGACTGTCTTGAATCTGTGCTCTAACTATTTACAAAGGTACGTAGCTGCCTCTTGCTTTACTCATCTCTATAACAGCACCTTGCTTTCGCGGTAAGAGTGGCTGGTGGAAGGCTGACCATGCCATTGAGATAAGTAGTACATATACGCATTATAAGCACAGTAAGCTACAAGCACTGTAAATAAAATACTGTTACCAAAACTGATAACATAAAAACACATGTCCGCAATATCTGAAATGTTTTTTAAGAGCTACTTTAAATACGCAACTACACTGTAATGTCCATACAAAAAAAACAATCTGTTAAAGTGTCTCTGCAACTTTTGCAAATACCACCAAAAATGACATGCCCTCTTGTGTTTGGTGTACCACAGTGAAGTGGAAGGTAGTTATTCGTACAGATGCTGCCATCTTGCCATCTTTTTTTTTTTCTATCTCCTGAAGTATCTTCAACCAGAAGGACAGTTTCACTGCTGCACTGAGTGGTACATGTGTAAGAGTACAACACTGAGGTCTATAGATACTGATTAATTATCTCATGCCATTATCAACACAGCAAGTCGACCAGTGTGCGTGTGAAGTAGACTATTTCCCACCTGTAAGAAATGACAAAAGAAGCTCAGCCTTTATTTTAACTTTTGCCCATAACTTAGACACAGTAGTCCCTAATTTCTCCTGTGATATATTTTGATACATTGAAATTCCAACACAATTAATTGTTTCTTAAAGAATATATTTATGAAATACTCAAAGTGCAACGTCCAATGCACTTGGCTTCCAGCAACTTCTAAACTTTGGTAAAAATTAAAGGTGCCAATTTATTCTTTGTCATTAATTTTGTGGTAGCAAAATATTGAGCTTGACATAAGATTAAAAATGGAATCACAGTTTAGACATGGTGTTAAGATGATAACCTTTTTCTGACTTTGACAGTGTTGCGGCAGGAAAAGAGGTTTGGATTTGGATAATGATTACTTTGAAAACTGTTGTGCATTACTGGCCAACAATCAGAGTAACTCTTTGTTATTCCATGAAATAATACTTTCTTTGTTGTAAAATATGAAACTGTAACTGTAATCTATTAACTATACAATGAGGGGAATGGAAGACTTTATTTGTGAAGAAAGACTAACAAATTTAAATTAGTTTTTAATTATTTGAGTCACTCATTTACAATTGAATTTAGTTTAAGGCAAAGGAAATGGTCATTTACAGTTATTAACAATAAAAATGTGAAATTCTTTGCCAGAAGAGGTGCTTTTATTCTTGCAAAAACTTAATATTCAAGAACATAATTTTTAATTTGTGGGGAAATAGGTTCTTGATTCAATGTGAGATCTGGCTGCCATTCTGGGGTCGAGAAGGGAGTTTTTCCTAGCTTGTTGAAAAATTGGTGCTTCAAACTTTTTTTTGTCTTTTTTTTGTATCAACAGAAAAAACAGATGTGAGAGAGGATAAACTTTATGAACACAAGTCTATTTTCAGTCTGCGTAACTATGTAACTATTGTCTATTCGATAATAATAGTTTTCAGTTCTTAAAGCATGGATCAGAGTAACGAATATTGATAGAAAAGTAGGTCAAAGTCCAGTGTAGGAACTATATGTATCTAACCAATTAACTCATTTTATACCAGCTGTATATACTTATGTTACTAATGATTTCAAGTGTTTTGCTGTTCCAAACCAAGCCAAGTAGATGTTATCATTTAAATGGTATGTCAAACGTATTGTGTAGAATGGATATGCAATGATATATATCTTTGAGTGTGTGTTGTTTTCAGCAAACAATGGGAGATCTGATGGGGACTAGGCTATATCTTTCTAAATGTATTATTATTGACCTCATAAATCAATGTCATTGTAACCTTATAATAGTGGTTGTTATGCACTGTTGGAGTAATAATATTACAGAGAATGAAGTTGGGAAAACTAGCATCACTATGGCTGTAGAAATAAAACTACTATCATCATGAAAACATAGCTTACCTTTAAAGACAACTAATGGTGTAAATACAAACCTGTTGAGAATGTTCTTACATTCTTTAGAGGGGCAGCTCTAAGAAGATGCTACATATATTTTAGATAAGTGAACTTTAATGTTAAAAGGTAGGGAAGCAGCGCCTTCAGTAATGTCCTCGATTCTTTGACTTTTCTGTTTTATATAACTTATTTAAGAGGTATTAACAAGCTCACATAACCTCATGTACACTGATCAGCCACAACATTAAAACAACTGACAGGTGAAGTAGTGAATCAGTGGTGGCTGGTGAAGTCTTAAGATGATGGTGTTCCCGACTCCACCCCCAGAATTTTACTCCTCCCTGTGCTGTCTCTGCGTTACTTCCAAGGTGGCTTGCTGATCTCTCCTGTGGACACTGTAACCACACCTCCCTGAATAGAGAGGGCAATAGCATGCCTCTCATCATGGGCAGCTGGCTCTGCTGCCCGAATGGCAACTCAATGGAAATTTCTGAAAATCCTTTTTAAAGGACACTAGGAAGGTGCAAAACTTGCTGAAGCACGTCAAATTTCAAAACAGACCAATTTTTTTTACATGTCTAGATGCTCCCAAGTAAGCTTCTCTAAACAGTTGCCAATGCAAGGGTAGCAGCCCTGCAGAATTGAAACCTATTACAGAATTAAAGAGACATTATTTTTTTCCCAAATTTTTTTGGCTTACCACCCTCCTCTCCAAAAAAGAATCTTAGTGTTTCTAAACTACTGCAAGTAATATTTGTCCCCCACATAAAAACTGGTGGGCCGCTTCACCTTGCTTGCTTCAGCTTCAGGCCAAAAACAATCTCTAATGAGACAGAGAGGGGTATTTTTTAAACCCATGCATACTTATTAACCCTTAATAGGGAACACATGGGATGGTCGGCAGAATTGTAACATGGCTATGTGATGCAAATACAAATACACAAAAAAAAGTCCTTCCTCTAGTAGAGGAACTAACCCTATACCACCATGTCTCCAATTTCAGGGTAAACTACGCCAAAAGCGAAATCCAGCCTCTGAACACAAACAACCTAACCATATCCACATTACAAAACTCTTATTCGTTCACGTGGGCAACCACAGCTGTAAAATATCTAGGGGTTCAACTAACGAAAATAATTTTTTAAATTGTACGAAATAAACTACCCACCACTTCTCCAAAACATAACAAAAGATCTAACCTCCTAGAATAAACCACACTTCAGTTGGACAAGCAGAATCAATATACTAAAAATGAACACCCTACCTAAAGTGTTATATCTGTTGCAAGTCCTTCTATCAGATTACCCAAAACCTTCTTCACCACCATCAGACGTACATTTACAGAATTTACATGGCGCAACAAGCACCCGATGCTCTTCTTCTGTACCCTCACATGCCATAAACTTTGTGGGGGGCTGGGCCTGCCTGACATTGAAACCTATTACAAAGCTGTACTACTAACTAGGATATATGATTGGATGGATCCATCACCATACAAACAATGGGTAAACTTAGAAAATGACATGTTCCCCATACCACTATATACCGTGCCCTGGCATAAAAACGGACGGACACTTCTCCACCCTAAGAACCGACATCACCCAACAATTATACCGACGCTTCACCTATGGACTCAAATTAGGCAATCACCTCATATATCCCCACACCCGTCCCCGTTCTATCCATTAATGCAAAAAACCCTCTTTCCCCAGGGCCTTCGTGCCATCACATTCCGTCTACCTTACAACTCACAGTATCTCACTCGAGGCTCAATCTTAGAAGCTAACTCTTTAAAACCGCTATCCCATTTAGCACATACTGAATCTCCGTCTCCGCTAGAATCCTTTTTCTATAACCAACTCTCACACTTTATCCACACAGAAGCACATCTATTGACAGGTGATCGCCCTCTCACTATATTCGAAACACAATGCCAAGATCGCAAAGTGAAAACAAAGCACCTCTCCATCTTCTATTAACTTCTACAAATCGAACACAAAAACTTACAACCTACATTTACAACTTCTTGTAAAGGTACCTCTGCACAAATATGGTGGTCGTGTCCCATTATCCAAGAATATTGGAAACGAATATCCCTAATGATATACAGTGCAACAGATATACACATCCCTTGCACAGCTAAGATAATGCTATTCCTCCTTTACCCATCCACACTTCCCAAACCAAAACGTCTTCTCATAAACCATTTACTCACGGTAGCAAAATACACTCATACCAACCAAATGGAAAAATAGCACCGCCCCAACGATTAGGGAATGGTTTCAGAAAATACAAAACATAAGAGTAATTGAAGAACTCCACTATTGATTCACTGACAAATACTCCTTATGTACAAAAATATGGGAACCAAGTTTATACAGAAAAAACCCCAAAGGTTAGGCACTCAAAATAACCGTAACAGGCATATGGTATGGCCATATCACCAACTTACAACTGTCTACCTGACACAGGGATCCTAAACCCTGGGTTGTGCCAGAAATAGAATAAGTGCAATTTGGACAGTTGATCCAAACCCCCCGTTATAACCACCACATCCATTGGGATACACTTGGGCTATGCTCTATGACCACATAATGGGGATCCTACAATCAATCCCTACTGCTAATCTACACTCAGAGCAACTATTAGGGGCTTCAACGTAAAAGTTACATGCTAGGAATGTCTATGCACCCATGATAGAGATGCCACTCACTTGAAAGTTGCACTCTCACCAGTGCCAAATCTAGTTTCACAAACAGACACCATGCCTCCAATGAGCACCAAATGTACCAACCTGACCATCCTACGTAATGCATTCTTCTATGAGTACAGGGACTAATGTCTGCTTTTATTGGTACAATGAATGTAACAATGTGTTAATGGTGATGATTGTGCGATTGTGTGCATGTCCCAAATGTCGACACTGTTTATAATGTTATTGTTGATACATCTGAACCATGTGAATAACTTTCTACGTATGAAATATCATGTAACCTTATGGATGAACAATAAAAAAAAAAAAAAGTCTTGCGCTCAGACTCCCACTACTTCTGGGTGGCAGCAATGACCATAGTACACATCAGCCCCAATACATCCAATAAAAACCAAAGAAAATACCGTGTCAAGGCAAACCTCTTAGGTGGGTCCTACAATAACAATTCACCTTGCTTGCTTCTTCTTCAGGGGGAAAAAATCTCTAATGAAAGCCAGGTGAATTGTTAGTGTAGGACCCACCTAAGAGGATTCCCTTGACGTGACAGGTGGACTTACATATAAACCATTTATCTAAATATGTACAGGGATTTGAAATAGTATGCAAGTAACTTTTTTTTATTTTTATTTTTTTTTTATTGTATGTATTGGAACTGATGTGTACTATGGTCATTGCTGACATCCAGAAGTAGTGGTAGTCTGAGCGCAGGACTTATTTTTGTGTATTTGTACCTACTTACTGCTGCCTGTCTTGTAGGCGGTTAATATTTACAACACTTAAATTGTACCGTTTTGGAGCTTAGGGGGGGCTGGCGAGAAAAGATAAGTACCATGAGTGTCCTCTGTAGTCTAGTCACTTTCTAAACTTTTATAACAGGGCTGGAGGGTCAGTGTGTGAGGCTGGACAGGAAGTGGAAGGGATCACTTCCCATCTGCCCACTAACAGCCTCTCACACAGGAAATACCTTGCAGGAGGAGCAATATATTACTATATTTAATGTATTATATATATGTCATATTTATAATTAATAAAAGGAAAAAATTGTGTAAACTAGTAAGAAGCATAGAAATGCCTCCATAGAGAGGCTTAATAAACAACTAGCAGAGTTGTAATAGCAACACAAAAATACTTCTGATCCTAAAATTGGCACCCAGCTCCTAAAAGGTCAGATGCCAGCTCTAATGCTCTCCATTCGTAAATTATGAAACGTAGGTTATGAAACTACGGCAAAAACATTATTCTCAAGATAACATGGCTGGCAACAAAACTCAAAGCCAAATTACAAACAAAAATACCTTTCCTTATAAATGCAGCAAATGACAAGTTTACTAACCCATCAGACATAGTTAATGAGCTAGCTCAGTTTCATGCCTCCCTCTATAATTAAGGGAATGCAAAGGATTAACCACACCATTCATAAAGTGACATTGACTATTTTCTTGATTAGATATCACTCCCCACTCTGACAGCTTTCCAGATGAAACCATTGACAGCCACATTTACAGACCAGGAGGTGCTTAAAGCAATTCACTCCTTACCAAAGAATAAAGCCCCTGGCCCTGATGGCTTCTTCAGTTATTATGACAAATTGCCCTCCATTTTACTTCCTCACCAGACAACTCTTTTCAAATATTTGACGCACAAGGTTCAAACACCTAAGGAAATGTTGGAAGCCGATATAATTACATTATCCAAGGTGGAGAAGCCGCTAATCCACAGTGCTAATTTCAGTTCCATCTCTATTAAAGGAGCACTATAGTGTCAGGAAAACTATAGGGTCATTAGGTCCCCCCCACCCTCATGGCCCCCTCCCGCTGGGCTGAAGGGGTTAAAACCCCTTCAGCCACTTTCCTTTCTCCAGCGCCAGGTTACCTCGGCGCTGGGGAACTCTCCTCCCTCTGCCGACGTCAGCTCCGAATGCGCATGCACGGCAAGAGCCACGCCCGCATTCAAATCACCCATAGGAAAGCATTACTCAGTGATTTCCTATGGACGTCCAGCATCTTCTCACTGTGATTTTCACAGTGAGAATCGCTGAAGCACCTCTAGTCGCTGTCAGTGAGACAGCTACTAGAGGCTGGATTAACCCTCAGTGAAACATAGCAGTTTCTCTGAAACTGCTATGTTTTCAGCTGCAGGGTTAAAACTAGAGGAACCTGGCACCCAGACCACTTCATTGAGCTGAAGTGGTCTGGGTGCCTATAGTGGTCCTTTAAGTGTTTATCATCCTCTTACTATCCCCATAGCAGACCATATCCTTTCCTCAAAGACAGGCACTAATACGAGGTATGCAAAAAAATATATATATATATAGCTAAACTTTGTGAGTAAATATTTAAAAATAACAATAAAAATACTGCACTTTATAATGTGAAAAAGCTCAAAACATATACATAAACATATACCAAATAATAAAGTGTGCTGTGCATTTAAGCTTATAATACTAGTTAATGAAATTTAAAGTGCAAATATATAAACTTTAGAATTATACAAACGTGTAATACAATACATGTGAAAAAAAAAGAGCGCAAATGTGCACTGTGCAAAAACACACTATTATATGTGGCTCTGTGCAAATTTAAAGAGATTCTCCAGTGCCAGGAAAACATACTGTTCTCCTGGCACTGTAGGACCCTCTAGTGCCCCTCTCCCTCCCACCCCCCATCCCAAGTTGCTGAAGGGGTTAAAACCCCTTCAGTGACTTACCGGAGTCCAGCGCCGATGTCCCTTGGTGCTGGGTCAGGCTCCGCCTACTCTCCTCCCCCGCAAACGTCAGCTGGCGGGCGAGACCTAATGTGCATGCGTGGCAATAGGCGCATGTGCCTTAGACCTCCCCATAGGAAAGCATCATACAATGCTTTCCTATGGGGATTTCGGCGACACTGGCGTGAGGACGTCCAGCATCGTCTTAAAACACTTTTCGTGTTCTATGAACATGGAAGTCCCTCTAGTGGCTGTCTAGAGGAGGACTTAACCCAGCAATGTAAATATTGCAGTTTATGGCACCCAGACCACTCCAATGGGCAGAAGTGGTCTGGGTGCCTGGAGTATCCCTTTAAATTAGAGAGTCTGAAACAGTTCTGGGTGGCTAATGTAAATCCTGTGTAAATTTGTCATCGGAGTCATACTGCAGGGAAAATTTTGCCTGAATGTTGGATCAACACTTGTCCCCTTTCCCCCTTATTTTTTATTTGAACTCCGGAGCCCCTAGTACAACTTCAACATTATCTTGCAATCACTTTTTTTAAACCCTGTTATAGGACCATCAGCTAGCCCGATTTTCAGAAAACATACTATTATTTCTTACCAACCCATGGCTTAATACCCACTTTGTTTAAGTCCATTGGTTTAGTTTCCTCTTACAGTAACCATGTGAGAAAAAATCAACAGGGTTATACCTGTAAGGATTTTTCCTCTCTTAAAAGCTGGTTTCCTTTTGATAGGAGAAATTATTTTATTAAATACTTGGAAATTAGACTGACTAAATTGCATGCTAAAGTAATTCAAGTAAAGAACATTCAATTATTAAGTGACACATGAAACATCCTGCAGAGTTAGATAACCCTTGAAATTTCTTGGATAGGGAGAATAAATAAAATGATGGTGTTACCCACAATTTTATATTTATTCAGGAAATTGCCTACAATGTTGTCCTCTGCACTTCAAGAATACTTCCAGATATTCTTCCAAGCACACATATGGAGACAGAGACAACCCCGGGGCACTGCTTCTACTCTGGAGTTCCCACAGCAAAGGAAGTTCTGGGGATAACTGACATCAAACTATATTATGCGGCGACTGCCCTGGTCCAGGTGGTCTCTAGGTTGCATCTTCTAGATCAGTGATGGCGAACCTATGGCACGCGTGCCACAGGTGGAAAGCTGGGCCCTCTCTGTGGGCACGCAGCCATAGGTTCGCCATCAATG